TAAAATTCAATCAAACTCACAGACAATTGTCCACTGTTCATAGAACTGACTTTGAGAATATCACATGTCATTCTTATTCTTCATCCAATAAACATGTCTGCTTATGGATAAGTGAACTTATAAGAAAAATATTCCACACTAGATCAGTTTAACTGTGTCTTTTACCCTGGGGACCAGTTAGCCATTTTTGTAAAGATCACTATTACAGAAACTCCACTTTCAAATGAATGCCAAAATTAATTTTATAGATTTCATCCATTTTTGAATTCTTTTCTCTACCATTTTCACAAAATAACTGAAGCAAGGATTTTATAAACTAATTAAAAATATAGTAACATTTTTAATGAATAGATTTCTTTTAAAAATAATTATTATTGCCTATCATATACACAGATGGGCACATGGCCAAGTGGTTAGAACATTTGCATTCTGACCATGAGATCTGGATTCAAATCTCACCATTGTTAATTTGTCAGGAAGGAGACTTCCTGATGTTATCAAACTGGAGTGGTTGATCCCAATGTGTGGCACCTTTGGAAAGTGCCTGAAAACCATACCACAAGTTGACCCAAGCCCTGTGAGTGAAATTGGGTAGATGGAATAGCTGTGCTAACATGAAGTCACAAATCATTGGGGCCAAGGGCTTGAGACTGCTGGCCTTGTTCAAGTTGTTGATCTTGCTAGATAAACATGCTCCTTTCACAGAAACTGTAACTAAGGTCTGCTCAGCATCGCTGCAGTATAAACCACAAATGGGTTCTGTGGGTGCCTTAGTAGACGGGTATCCTCGAATTGATAACTTCAATGGATATAACAAAATATTATTCCAAACATTTTATTGGCCATTGATGTCACATGACTTGCTGTGTTAGGCTTCATTTTATTTAGTGCAATACTTTTAATATATATATATATATATATATATATATATATAAATATATATATACAAAGAATAATCACACATAGAATTAATCAGAAGTATTAATGCGATTATTGGCGACATCCATCACTAGAAAACATAATATATGCATTAAAATCCTGTTCATCCATAGTGCGATAATATAGTGTAATGTCTTAGTAGTAAAAATAGAATACATGGATTTAACACATCACAAGAAATATTTAAATAAAATTCTCACTTAAAAAATTTTGAAAAACTTAGCGTTGCGTCTTTGCACGTTCCGAGATCTTACACAACCGTCAATAATAGCAGATATTCAAAAAACATCTTTCGCCGACATACAAGTATATCGTCTCCAAGTTTTTTGATTTTATAAGAAAAAAAACACATGCCTGATGATGGATAGAAGTCTATCCATAAGTACTAGCATTTTAACATCAAATAAACTGAAAAACTACAGACAACAAGTTTTTCGTCAAGGATCAAAACTCGCACTATGGATGAACAGGATTTTAATGCATATATTATGTTTTCTAGCGATGGATGTCGCCAATAATCGCATTAATACTTCTGATTAATTCTATGTGTGATTATTCTTTGTATGTAAATCATATGCTGCCTAATGTTTTATGTTTATTATATATATATATATATATATATATATATATTTGAGATAACAATATATAGTTTTATATATCAGGAACAAATATGTGGAAAAATATACAACAAAGTTGAAAATGTTTTTTTGTAATACAAGGTCATCTGCAATAAAATTGCACCCAGACTCTTACAACATTTCACCATTCTTGGCAGAACTTCTATTATCACAGTGTGGGATATTTACCAACAAAAGCGATGGAAAGAAAAAGAACCTAAATGAAATCAACTAGAAAAATAAAAATAAAAAAATATTGTAAATTCCCAGCATCTCTGGCTCGTGCATATATGTAGTTGAACAAACATAACAATTTTACTCTGACAAAGTTTAAAGGATGATATGCGTTACAAAAAAAATGTTCCCACTTTGTCATACATTTTCTCTCTCTCTCTCTCTCTCTCTCTATATATATATATATATGTGTGTGTGTGTGTGTGTGCTGGTATGTAGAAAAATAGGAAAGAATATGTTAAGTAAATAATCCGGAGTTCTTTTGTATTTTTGTTTTTTATTTTTAAAAAACAGTGCTTCATACAGAAGTAGATTAAATGAAACATGAGAACTCTTATGTAACGAAGGAATCATATTTTTTAGATAATTATAATATATATATATATATATATATATATATATATATATATATATAAACAAAAGAAAAACTTCCACCAACATGTTTCATCCTCTGCAGGAATTTATCAAGTTAAATGTAAAAGAAAAAAAGATTTATGAACACATACAGAATCTCATACATAACAATTTATCAAGTGCATTAGTTATACACAGAAATAAATTCAACCACAACTTTGTTCTGAAGAATGCCACACTTATTAAAAGAGGAAATAACTTACTTAGACAGAAAGTTCTGGAGAGTGCATCTATTGATTCTTCCTGAAATGTTCACTACAACCTTTCTTACAAGAAATGCACCTTTCTCAAACCAATATAAATGAACATAAAAATTTTAAAAACTAAAAGAAAATGTTTAATGCAAGATCTATTATTTAAAATATATATATATATATATATATATATATATATATATATATATAAACAAATGAGAGAATAAAAATTCAGCAACAAAATTTACTAACTTCTGTTTATTAGGCATTAAATTACATCACTCTGCATTCTTCATACTTAACATATTAACTGCCTTGATGAATATTTTAGACCATTCTTAAATTAAATCATCCTGGGTATGACGATAAACTACATCTGATAGCAAGACCTTTGATCAGGAGGTTTTGAAGAGCATGTTAATTTCTGTTGTCAGGGTCCCAGCTATGGGCAAATAGTTAACTCTCCAAAAGGGGTTAAAAAAATATGAAAGTATAAAAATAGGTTTTAATACCAGCAATACTTTTTTGGAAAAATTATTACCAGCAGTACATTTAAAAAAAAAAAAAAAAATATTACCAACAATACATTTTTGGAATAAATATTACCAGCAGTAAAAATCTTGTTGGCATTAAATAACAGATTGAGTTTGGTATGCCACAAAACAAACCAAACCTTAAATTAAAATATTCATAAACTTTACACATATATTTACTTCAATTTATAAATACATGCTGCAAAATAAAATCCTGACATAAACCTTGTTGAGGCCAGTAGTACATTGGTGTGTTTTGAGTTGGGAAAAACATGTGCCTTCTGGAGTACCCACAATAAAAATGGAGGACTTGCACGTGTGTCTGCCATATCAGGAAAAAACAAGAACCAATATATATGTACAAACAAATGATAATGTATTAAAAAGAAAAGTATAAAAGTTACAAAGAAAATTAAGTGTGTATAAAAAAGGAATCTGAAAACATTTAAAGTCCAAAGGAATGTGAATTGAATGAAAGTGCATACATACGTCTGTGTGTGTGTGTGTGCATTGGGGTGTTCCTGCATTTCCCAATGAGAAATGTGTTTTCAACTAGAGACATACATGTTGATGTGTAAGTGGAAAAAGTAAGAAGAGAGGGAGAAAAAATATACCGAATATTTATAGTCCAGAGAGCATCCTCTAGTAACAGTTTCAGGAAAGTAAGTAAGTGGAGTTAACTCCATAGCCTTCATAAAGTTCCTCAGGGAGAAAATGCATGGGTAAAGAAGTTTTCCTTTTGTCTTTATTTGCATTGTCTGTTTACATATGTTTTATTTATATCTAAACTTTTACACACTCATATATGATAGGATAAAGGGTACAAACACTTATGATAGGATATGTGTGTGCATCTGTATATAAGCCAGTGTGCCTGGGAACACACTGACATGCCCTGAAAGATAGCCATGTGTGCCTTAAGTTAACAGCAGGACAATCTAGGAATTATTTTTATATTTAAAAAAATCTTTATTTATAAAAAAAGCTAGAGACACTAAGCACACGGTTTCCATGTTTAACTCAAGTCTTTGTTATTTGATATTTTAAACTGGATGTTAAATTCCTTAATCTTTAATAAGGAGGGGATAAACCTTTCCTCTTTGCTTTCCTCAAAGCATAACATATAAGGCCTATCATTCAAAAAGTTATCAAGACAAATAAAGTAGAGTTTTCCTATAAGCATACTTAAATGTAGAATGTAATGCCTTAAAAATAAATGCTTATTGACTAAATTTTCCTTAATAAAATTGAAAGTGCACCTCAGGGTTTTAGTTACTCTAAAAGTATATCCTGGAGTAAAAATGATTGAGAAACCTTGATGTAAGCATACAGATACTACACTCTTATCCTAGAAAGAAATGCTGATGAGCATCACTTTTATTGTGGGTATATTGCACAGAAACTAGTCCCTGATCCTGGGTAGAAATCCAGTAAGCAACACTTTGAACTGAACCTATTTTTCACCTCCTATCGTTTTTGGGGTATTAATGGGCTGAAACCTATAATTAATATCAGATTTTTATTTTAATTTTCATAACTGATATCAGAATTTATGGTGGGAATTAATGGGTGAAGCAAAACAGATAGATACTCTCATCATCAGCTTACCCATATATAATACCATAACTTTGACAGGCATTATGCTAGTTAATATATATATGAACGAAAAGAAATATTGTTGAATCTGTTTATTTGATGTAAGTAAAATAAGAGATGAAATTGATTTGATGAAAACAGTAGAGGTTTTCAAATGTGCACAGCTTTTTTTTAGAACTGTTAAATACACATATGCTGATAATAAAAGCCTCTATGTCAGTTCCTCCCACAAAAAAGTCTCATGATAAAAAATTGGCCATTCAATACAATGACCTTTCCATTCTGAATCATAATCATTTGGTGTAATGGTTGGTATTGATCTGCACACACTCCATTAGAGAGTGACCAATCATTTCCGTAGGCCACCCCAGTAAATAATGGGTCAACGTGTTACTTATTGTTTGTAGAGTATTCAATTATATAAGTGCCAACTCCCAAAGTGTGGAATGCCTTCCATCTGTTTGTGTTAACAGCCACTGGACGATTGGCGCCAACAAAGAAGGAATTACACCGTATAAGAAATGATATAATAAAACATTCTGAATCATACAATTCTTTCTCTTTCACTCTTTTTCTTTATTTTAAGTTCTTTTCTAGCTTTCTTTGTTTCTCTTCTTTTCTTTATCATTCTCTTTTCTTTTCTTTATCATTCTCTCTTCTTTTCTTTATCATTCTCTCTTCTCTTCTTTATCATTCTCTCCTCTTCTTTTTTATGCTGTTGTTTTTCTTTCTTATTCTTATTCCCTTTCAATGCTTCATTTTTCTTCTTTCTTTCTTTTGTCTCTCTCCATTAATGTCTTCAATGTTCTACTCTCTTTTATTCATTACTACTTCTCTCTCTCTCAGCCTCTCTTATTCTCTTTCACACTTTCTTCTCATTTCATTTTCTCTCTTACTCTCACTCTCTCAGCCTCTCTTAAACTCTTTTTTTCTCATTTCATTTTCTCTTTCTCCCTCTCAGTCTCTCCTACTCTCTTTCACTCTTTTTTATTCATTTAATTTTCTCTCTCTCATTTATTTAATCTATCATTCCATAATTCAATCCATGTTCTACACTATCTTTTCTCTATTAGTTCTTTTTTCTCTCAGCCTCTCTTTCACTCTTTTTTTCTCACTTCATTTTCTCTCTCTCTCTCATTCATTTAATCTACTCTCCCTATCATTCACTTCTTGCATATAAAATCTCTTTTTTTATATGTTTCCCTTTTTTTCTCTCTCTCTCAAATATATTCTTAAGTAGCAAGGGGTCTCCTGCAACTAAAAACAATCTTTTTTTCTTATTAACCCTCTAAATTTTATATTATCAACCTTCATGCAATATTGTGCTAAACAATTTTCAGGTTCTAAATATACCAATCCTCTGACATTTTTGAATGCAAATATTTTTCCTTTTAGTTTTAAAAGATGAATTGTGAGGAAATAAGTTTTATTATGATAGCACAACAGCAGAAACATTTTACTGTATCCATTTTAATATAACAAAAATATTCTTATAATAGAAATATGCTCAATTTATGAGGTACAAACTGAATATTAAAGATTATAATTTGATTAGTTTTAAACCATTGCACATATAAAATTATATGACATTTAAGGACATACTTCAGCAGAATAATATTATAATCAGTTATGTGCCATGCGTGATACATGCTTAGGCGATCATGTATCTTTCGATGCATGACTGATGAGGCAGATTTTTTCCTGCAGTAGGTTTCAATTTTTCTGCAGTAGACCAGTTGCCATCCAAGGTGTGTTCTTCTGTTTACCCATAGTTGGGGGAGAAGAAGAGGATTCATACCTTTCCTAAGGGTATTAGCACATAAGTGAATGTAATGGATTGGACTCAAATTCAAACTCAGTCCTCCAATTTCTCAATCGGAGCCACTATCCACTACTCCGCCATGCTTCCTAATTTTATAATATAATATACTAAATGTATTTGTATATATATATATATATATATATATATATATATATATATATATATATATATATATATATATGTCACACATTATGAAATGGACAAAGTCCAACAATTATTTTAAGACATTTTTTATCGTTATGCATTCTTTTTTTTATAGATACAAATATTTAAGTAAATGGTCTGTTTATAATAAACAGTATTCAGGCCAGTAAATGTTGTTTAATACTGTTTATTATAAATAGAGCATTTACTTAAATATTTGTATCTATAAAAAGAATGTATAAATATATATATATATATATATATATATATAAAAAAGGCTTAAACACTAATATTCCATGGGCATAATTTATTCCATTGGAATCGTAAATATACAATGTATGTGTATGCACCTATGTATATATATTTATATATTTTGCATATGTATGTATATTTACCACTAATATTATATATATATATATATATATATATATATATATATATATATATATATATCTTTTTCTTAATTTTTTTTTTAATCTTATAATATACTAAATGTATTTTTAGATATTTTTTATAGTGTCTGTAACCTTTCTGTTTACTAGAGTTACTTTCTTTGCACTAACAGCGCCAGGTGCCAGTACCTTTATGATAATGGGGAACTTTTTCCTTTTATGTACCGTGTCCCTTCAGGACGTGGATGATTATGGCTCTCCATAACTTCCTATCCTTTATAGCTCAAAGTAATGTCTGTTTCTGTATTATCCTTCGCAGTCATTGTTCTGCCATCCATTTACACAGGCTCATTCTGTAGGTCATTTGCTGTTTTCCTGTGCTTCTCTTGCCTTCACTGTGTCTTGTGGGTATCAAATTATCCATGACGGCTTTCCTCATTATATGTTCCAGAAATTTCATCTGTCTCTTTCTTTTTCTAAGTCCACATCTCTTTTTTGTATTTCCTTAAAACTTCAATGGTGAACTTCAGGAGGCAGGTAATGATGATTCTCTATGGGTCTCTTTTATTTATTATCTCTGAATCAGTATGCATTCTTGGTAAAGATAGTGGAGTAGTTTCCATTAGCTTTTCTATAGTTTTAAACTCAGTTTTCTCTTTTTTGTCCTGGTTATCATCGAAGGGTAAAGAACCCAGTGTACCCTGCTATTTAACCCATAGCTGGGAGATGAAGAAATAGAAACATGCCTTTTACTGTGGAAGTAAATGCAACAGACTGACCAAGGATTTGAACTTAGTTCCCTCATACCACTTTCTGTACAGCTTCAATGGCAAACTACTGTTTAGAAAATGTTTATGAAACTCGGACATGGCAAGAGTGATTTGGTGAAATAGCAGAGTACAACAATAATAATAATTAGAAAATATATTTAAAGATGCAATTGGAAAATAAATTATGTTTCAACATTCTACATGTGAATTATTTACACTATTTACATTGTTTCGACTGTTGTGCTAATTTTTATTGTCATATTCACAATGTTTCAGGAATTGTACCATTCAGTCTTCTTCAGGTGATATACATTGGAATTTTGAACCAATGTAAATTTCTAATAATGTAAATAGTGTAAAAAGTTACAGTACCTCATCTCAGGAATATAGACACGTGTGAATTAATCTAAAAAATTAGTTGCAAGAGCTTAAAATAAAATGTTTAGTATTGAACCCAAATCCATATTGTTTATACAATAAAAGGAGTCTGCAGTTTTACCTGACAAAACAGAATAACCATTTCTACAATCACCTGTCAAGTCATAATGAAGATGAGATTTGATGAAAAATCAATATGGCCAACTGAAAATCAAAGCAACGAAGATTGAAAAAGAGATATTTTTTCTGTTGCAAATGTTGTTTGTTTTGGTCAAAGCACTTAGTTTATCTCTCCTCATCTTCTGAAGCTGTTTCCAAATCATCTCACCCCCAACCCATAATAGTCAGTGCAATTAACCAATTAGAAAATCAATGGATCCTTTTACAGCTCTCATATTTGAGAATGTTGAAATTAGAACTGCAAAGCATGAAAATAAAACTGCATTGAAATTAGTAGACATCTCATTGTCCGCTTTCAGAATCACAACTCCAGTATTTTTAATTGTTTTTGTTTTTTTTTTACTTTTTAGCTAAAAACAGTTAATTAGAATGTATTAGATGGGTAAGACCAAACTTGCAATAAATGTAAAACCATTGATATAAGTTAATGGCTAAAATATTTTGGAATTAAAAGTATTCAATCTACACTAATTGAAGAAACATTAAATTCTGTTAGACTGAATTTTGCTTCACATTATCAATAATATGGTTAAGAAATATTAATTTTTAGGAACCAGGAAATTTTTTAGACCAACTCAATTTGAAGTACACTACTGGCTAAAATCTCAAGGCCAATGAAATTAAAGAAAAAATATAACTTTTGCATTGTTAGACATGTTGCAGTAATGCTTGTTGTATTTATGTAGAAAACACGTCTCCTGGTATATTTTTCTTACAATAATTATTGCTGACACAACTGTGAGACTGAGTAATAAATGTAATACAAAACAATATCAAACAAACAACAATGCATGTATTAACAAAAGTATTACAATAACAATAAATGAAGAATACATTTAAAGACTAGTTTCATAAAGCATTTATATCAGAGAATGTATGTGCATGTGTGTGAAGTTTGTGTAGGTCTATGTGATAGACAAGTGTGTGTTTGAGTACAAAATGTCACAAGAGAAAAGACATTGAATATGAATGTTTCCTATGAGTAACTACATCTTATAGCCAGAGTTATAAAAGTGGAAAGAAGATGAGTGAGAATATCATTTCTTATTCATAGACTTAAGGAGCGCCCCCTAGCAACATTTTTTTTAGGAAAGTCAGGTGTGATGACTCACAAACTCAATGACTTATTTGAGTAGTTTTAAAAAATGAAAATAAGAAAAGGAATAATAAAAATTAAAAACTTTTTAGTATTTAATAATGAATGTTTGAATACTGCTAAATTAGACTAAATGCTGACTGGTCAAAAGTTTAAAACCATACCTAAAAGAAATCCTGAAAAAAGTACAAAATGCCCCCCCAAAATATCTCAGCTGCACAGCCATCATTGTGAATAAATTGAAAAAATCACTTTGGCATGGGTTAAGTGTCTGCAGAAAGCTGACTGGAATGTTATTCCAAGTGCTGAAGATGACTTTACGCAGTTCATGCACTGTTTGGAATTGATTTCCATTTCTATAGACTTCCCTTGCTATTTACCACCAAAAACAACAATATATTTCACATGAATTGGAAAGAAAAAGATACAAGATATGTTAAAATAAAATTACCTGTATTGCCAGTATAATGGATTAAGGCAGAATGTCTCTTTTGTGGCAAGGGAAATAACCTGAAGAAAGTATTAGTCCGAATCTGCAGTGTTAGTGATTCTAATCTAAAATCTTGGCTTCTTTCCTTTTTCCTCTTCCATAATTTAGTTTCCCTGTACCTTTTCTCTAAATATTTTCATAGTAATTTTTCTGCTACCTAGACTTTATGAATTTAAGCACAGTACAATATTAACAGCAAGGTCGCATCATTTTACAATGAAAATGGCTGGATGTAACTGTAAGTTCTATGCTAACATTTTCTTCTATCACACTTCTCACTTGTGGAAATCTCTTCTGGCCTCTTGCTTTCCAGTCAGGTTTGATCTTCAAAAATTTAAATGCAATGACAATCATTCTATTCAGTCTTCTTAATACCTGTTCTTTTATTGTTCTTATCTTCTTAATAATGTTTTTCTTTTTCTCATATTCTTTAGCACTCAGTAACCCCTTGTATCATAGTGGTTTTATTACCTTACTTGGGGTGAAATGATTAAAAAAAGAAAAATAAATAAAATCTGTCAACCCAAAACTATTTATTATCAGTAGAGATATTGTGAGATGAAATTCACACAATATATTGCCTAGATAAATAAAAGTTAATCCAGAAAATTTCACCAATATCAACTGTTTCAAACTGATTTTAGAACATTAACTTACATGAAGATAGAGGATAGACATTATGTTATATACTGCGAATGGTTGCAACAATGACAAACAAAAAACAATATGTTTGCCAATGAAGGGAAAAGAATAGGAGACAAGATATGTTAAAATAAAAATTATCACTATTACCATTGGATCAAAGTATAATGCCTCTTGTAGGTGAGCTTAGGCACTGCTTGTAGATGAAAGAGCCTGATCCCAGAGATGGAAGAACTGGTTGTGTACTGGCTCTACACTGAAGCTTGTATCAGGTCCGTTGACTGAGAGGTTGCTGTGAGACGCCTGTGAACTCCCTTGAGGGTCACAGAGTTGGTCTTTTTAAGGTGTCAGGATTGATATATGACTCAGCCTTTTTGCCCTGTTTTTGCTCTAGTGGCAATGTTTGTGATTGACTCTGATGTTTAAATTTATTTTGGGGGGGGATGATTTGTTTATAAACAGGATGTGATGCTTGGAGCCCTTTGCACAGACAGTATTTTTTATTCTTAATTTTGCTTTCATATCATTCACATCAGGTTTTGATATTGAGTGAATCAGAAAGATGTCTAAAAGCAGAGTATAATATAAATAAAAAGCTAATTTTCTGCCAAATTTCATTGTACATCATGTGAATAAAAAATTTCAAACTGGCTATGGAAGCCTAAGTGTGCAATGAAAATCCCAAGCATAGCAGAATAATATAGCAATGTTTACTTTTGTTCTTCTACATGCCATGATGTGGGCGATGATGGCTCTTCACAACCTCCTATCCTTTGTAGACTTTAGTAATGTTTGTCCCTTTGCCAAATTTCCTTCTCTCCAGTTCTACCATTCACAAGCTCATCGGGTATTTTAACAACTGTCTTCTGTCCCCTGTGCTCTTGATGTGGTCATTAAATTCTCCAAGCCTTCCTTCTTCATTCAGTAGTGTCGACACAATTCTAATTATAAGCATCTTTTGTTTCCATTTTCATTAAGGCTTCATCATTGCTTACATGCTCTGCCTATAGAAGCCCCAGCATCCTTCTGTAGAACCACATTTCTGTTGGCTTCAGTTTTCTCATCATCTGTGAGGAGATTGTCCAGCTTTCAATATCATACAAGAGGATTGATATTACATAACAGTTCAGCACTCTTTTCGTTGTTTTTAATGAAATCCTACCACATTGAAACACTGACTCTCCCATGATCACTAGGTAGGTGACTGCCTGGGAATACCAGGTGCTGTAAGGTTGGATGTGCAGGTGGTGTAATGGATAACAGGTTGGAATTGGAAATCAGAGAGCCAAGTTCTAACTTCAGGTGGGTTCATTATATTCACTTATGCACAAATAACCCTGCTTTGAGAAAGGGATAAATTCTCCTCTTCTCTCCCTCAGCTATGAGTTAATTAGTCGGACTTGTATCAATAAATTATTATCTCCAAAAAATGCTTACACTCTAAAATATTTCCAGGCTTTAAATGACCTGCAAAAGGTTGATAAGCTGTAAAAAAGCAAGTCAATCAATTTGCTAATCCAATGTGCATTCAGGTTTCAGTGTTACATTTTTTTCATCTTTTGTTCTTTTGTTGAAACAGTTTACATTATTTTCATTGTTCAGACTGTGTCCTCATCTTTATTGATAGTTGCATGCTCTGGCAAACATTGTCTGGACTGTTGTACTCATCTTTTATCTTTTTTTGTATTTTGTCCTTGGGGACACATGGCCCAGTGGGTAAAAGCATTGTCTGAAGTAATCCAGTGACTTGACCACAGCAGAGGTGAACTAAAATTTGGAGAAATGTGTTACTCAAGGGAAATAACTGATACTAATATATCCAGAAAAGCCATGAACAATCTACCCCAATGAATTAAATAAAGGGTTTGGTTCAAAATTCCAATATATATCACCTTGATCCAAAGAGTTCAATGGTGAACAAAAACTTGGAGAGGTTGAGTTACTAAAGGGAAATAACTGAAACTGAGATATCCAGAAAAGGTATGGCATGTGGAACTAGAACATTCTACCTTGTTGTGGTAAATCAGTTTGAAATTCCTACTAATATCACCTGAAGTAGGCTGGAGCATACAACAGCCAAAATGTTATGAATATGACAATAAAGATTATGGCAACAGTCCAAACAACATAAATACCTGTTATATTCCATTCTAATAGGAATACATACTTGAAAAACAAAGTGAATAAATGAGTAAAGGTTTATTGTAAAAACCAATACAATAAGAATAAAGGTAACAGTTATGTACAAGGTTGTTGCAAGTCAATCCAGTAGTGGGTGCTACTACTAGAAGGTCGGTAGTTCTTGCATAAGTCTGAGTCGTACTCAACAGATCCCAGCTAGATTCTGTAGTCCGTTCTTACAGATACTTATAGGTTGTTACTACCTATAGTGTAGTTACTCATGGGGGTGACAGGTTATTCCATTACATCACTTTATAAGAAGAAAATCTATTCAGATGGTCATAAGCTTGCTCGACATAGTTACACCAAGTAAACCAACAGGAGACTGATCATGTATGTGCTGTAAGGTCACCGATGATTTGTTGCCAAGTTACATTAAAGGTCGTTTTCAACATATTCAAAATGTTTGGATGCTTTCTGAAGAGACCTGATAGGTAAAAGAAAATGTAATAAATTTATTAATGGATTTTTTTTTTTTTTTTTTCGAATGATTGTGAAATCCTTTAAAAATATTACAATAAGAATAACGGTAAGATTTATGCATGAGGTCGTCGCAAGTCAATCTAACAGTGAGTGCAACTATTGGAAGGCCGGTAGTTCTTGGATAAGTCTGAGTTGTGCTCAACAGATCCCAGCTGGTATATTTAGCCCCTCACGAGGGTTGCATGTGGCATAAGGCCAGTCCCACATGGGTTCTCCGAGCCCGTAGGCTTTGCCAAAAATATTCCGTTTTTGAAGCCACATAAACGGGTTCAGGGTCAGTCTACCTCCCCGAACGAGACTCTGCCATTTGGCTGAGCCTCATCCGGGTTCCTCTTTGCCTTCAGGCAGAGAGTTCGACTGTGTAGCTGAAAAGATTCCAGCTAGTCTCTGTAGTCTGTTGACTTACAGATACTTATAGATAGTTACTGCCTATAGTGTAGTCATTCATGGGGGTGACAGGTTATTCCATTACACCAATAGCATAAATAGTTACAATACCTCATCTTAGAAATATTGACAGATTTTGTTGAAACCCTTTACATTTGTTAGGATAATCATTTTGTTTTTAAATAAGAAATAGTAAGAATATTAGTCCAAGTAACTGAGAAAAATACTAATCAGTTTTTCTATTAAATCCTCTTTTAAACAAAGAAACAAATATGATTTACTTAGCAGATATTTTATTGAATAATTTTAAGATTTTAGTGACCTCTTTCTTGCTAATTTCCCAACCCAAACACTTGACAGTCTGTGTTTTTGAATAATATTCAATCCTTTGCTAGAAAATATCTTAAATATCTGAATAATTTACTATGAAAAAAGTTTTTAAAATGTTTCTTTCATCTTCTCTGTTTTTTTCAGGTTCCTGCCAATGCAATCCTCTCGGGTCATATGGTACAAGCTGCGACCCCCACACTCGACAATGTGTTTGTAAACCGGGTGTTGGTGGTCTCAGATGTGACCGATGTAAACCTGGTAACTGGGGACTGCGTGCTATTAATAAAGGCAACATTGGCTGTATACGTGAGTCTATATTTTACTTACAGTATTTTTTCATTTTTCTTTCTTCATCATTACAGGCAGGGATTTTAACAAAAGTAATCAACATGCAGAAACCAATGAATTCATTTTTTGCTCATATTTTTTTCATCTTGAGTCATGGTGCATCATAAGCAGATAGAAGGGGAAATTTACTGTGGAAAAAAGGTTTCAGTTAATCTAAAAAAAGGTTTCAGTTAATCTAAAAAAAGGTTTTAGTTAATCTAAAAAAGGTTTCAGTTAATCTAAAAAACACACACTTGCATAAAAAAAAACATAAACAAGAAACAAAACCTTTGCAATAAAAATGTCGTGAATATATACTTTTTAGTTCTTGTGGATGTAAACTTATGTGCGTTTTAAGATAACAGTAGCAAGAAAATATGGCTGAGTGGTTAGAACATTTGCTTTCTGACCAAAAGACCCAAGTTTGAATCTCATCAGGGTCAATTTTTCTAGATGTTATCAGTCTGGAGGAGTTGAACCCAGTGTGCAGCACCTTTAGAAAGTGCATGAAAACCATACCGCAGGTTGAACCAGACCTTGTGAGTGAAATTGGGTAAACAGAACCCTTGGAACCTGTTGGTGGTTGTGTTTGCACAGTCACAAGTCATCATGAGTGATGTTTTGTTTATCAAGATCTTTCTCCCAGAAACTATAACTAAGGTCTGCTCAGCATAGTTGCAGTATAAACTACATAATAATTTATATTATAAATGCAAGCAAACAATATATGCAAGGCAAATTAACATTAATAAGGCAGAGCAACAGTAATATGTCAAAAAGTTCACAAACTAAGAATTGGGGTTGACACACAAGCAAATTTGGATAAATAAACATAGTGTTCTGACTTCAAGACAAGACAGACCAGGACTGAGTCAGATGAAATGGAGAAGTAGCCTATCTTATTGGCTAGGAAGAAATCCCAGCATGCATTTGTGTGCTTTTGCCTATGAATTGGGGAGGGGAAAGTGTTTTGTTGTCATTCCCAATCAGGATAGGAACTAACAATCTTATTAAATAAACCTATTTATACCATGTCTCTACAAGATATAAGTGCTCATGGCTCTGCACAGTCTTTTTTGTTTATCTTTTGTCTTTTTGAATGCTGTTTTATTTTATTTTCTCCACAGTCACATTTTCTCTATTTATTTCACTCTCAATAACCACCTTTGTCTTAACAGCTTTATTGCTTTGCTTGAGGTGGACTAAATAAAAATATTTTCTAAGATTTCTTAGTAATAATGAAGTAGTTTCCTGTTGTCTTCTCCATAGTTATATTTCACCTAGACTGGATGCCAACCAAGGTTAAACGCCCAAGTTTAACCTATTATTTGGCACATAGTAATGAGAGTGTACTTAACTTTCTCAATGTTATTAATGCAAAAATGAAAACAGAACACTTGACCAGAATTTGAACTCAGTTCAACAATTCCATATTTCATGTTAAACTTCCTGCAGAATCTGCTTATTGAACTTGCTGAACCGAACTTTTGGAGATAAGTCTCAGTTATAAAAAGAAAAAGAAAAAAAAAAAAAATATATATATATATATATATATAAATATATATATTTTTGAAAAAGAAGTCAATATAAGAATATACAGTATTATATATGCTAATTTTTATTCTTAGCTCATTCATTCAAATGAATGCATTCTTCCAAATTAAAAAAGTTTAAGAATATTACTGGAAATAGTAAAGAGAAAGAAAAGGAGAAGAATTTTCACACAGCTTTCAACATTTGATACGTGTGCAGCTTTTCAATATCTAATGACTCTAGATCTTCTTTATCTTCTCCTGTAATTGCTTTGTTTTTCAATGAATATTAATCAATACCTCAACTGCGATCAGTGCTCGAGGAAATCTGTTTGAATTCTATTAACATCTCACCCAGTCCAGTTTCCTCAGGTAAAATCTTGCCAATCAACTTTAAAAAATGGAAAAAAAGTCATGAAACTAATGTGGCAAACAGACATAATTGTGTTTCATCAAATGAAATAATAACCAAATATAACATAAATTAATACATTTAATAAAATAAAATAAAAATAGTTCGAAAGTGTAACTATTATTTCAACTTAAAAGTAATGTTTAAAAAAATCAATCTAATTTGGTTTATATATCATTACAAGATCTGTGTAAATTGCGATTCTTAATACATTTTTTTACACTATTTGTCCTCATGTTAATGTCTTCATCTTTGTTGTTATCACAACATTTCAGCCTTCATCAGATAATTGTTGATCTGTGTAACCTTCAAGGAATTTCAAATTGATCCGTTTCTTTAATCTAGTTTCTTCTCATAATAAATAAGGTAAAAAATGATACCCTCCCCCCCCACATCCCCAAAATTCAGACAGAAATCATTGTTTAGAAAAAATATTCTAATTCTTTTAGCACACCAGTTCCAAAACATTTTTCTCTGGGCCACATTTTCGGAATTAAAATTTGCTGGTGCCTCAACAAATTTTATGTGATAGAAAGGATATTTAAAAATAAAAAGCAGAGAGAGGGTTAAAGGGAGATAACTGCAGATTCAAAGTCAGAACTTTATCATTGATAACACTCTCCTCCAATTTGTGGACCCTAGTTAGTATATTCTTGACACTTGATATAATGCAAAAATATCCCAATGATAAAATCTGTCAATAATTATTTCAGTCAGTTATGTGCCATACATGATACACACTTAGGCGATCATGTGTCTTTCGATACATGACTGACGAGGCAGATGTTTTTCCCACAGTAGGTTGCCATTTCTTTCTGCAGTAGACCAGATGCCATCCAAGGCTAGAGAACCCAGTCTGTCCTGCTATTTACCCATAGCTGGGGAAGGGGAGAAGAAGAAGATTCATACCTTTCCCAAGGTTATTAGCATGTAAATGATTGTAATGTATTCGACTGGAATTCAAACTCAGCTCTCCGATTCCTCAATCTGAGCTGCTACCCATTACTCCACAATGCATGCATACAATTACAAGTAATCCATAATATAATATAATAATAATATTCTAATTCACTTAGCACACTGGTTCCAAAACTTTTTTTTCTCTGGGCCACATTTTCGGAATGAAAATTTGTTGGCACCTCACTAAATTTTATGTGAAAAAAAGGACATTTAAAAATAAAAACGGAGAGAGGGTTAAAGGGAGATAACCACAGATTCAAAGTCAGCACATTATCATTGATAACAGTCTCCGCCAATTTGCAGATCCTAGTTACTATATTACTTGATATAGTACAAAAATATCCCAATGATAAAATCAGTAAATAATTATTTATGGCTATTTATTGTGGGATTCATGCATACAATTACAAGTAATCCATAATAATATTTTAGAATCATATTTATTTTTAGCATAGAAATTTAAAAAAACTTTTCTAAATCTTTTCAATCATTCTGCCTCACCTGCTATCCTCTACCTCCACACCTATGAGGCACACCATGCCATTTGGGAACTACTGATTTAGCATGTTAATTTTAATTAATTTTTTTAATTCATAACAGATAATTCCTTGTCAGATAGTAAGACATAAGGTAGGCTAATCTATTGGTTACTCTACCTTAAACAACAAACTTAAGTTGTTCAAGACATTTATATTAACATCAATATTTTTTTTCTTATTTTAGCATGCGACTGTAATATGTATGGTTCTTCACGAGATGACTGTGAACAGAACAGTGGACGTTGTAAGTGCAAGACTGGTATTACGGGAATGAAATGCAACAGGTGCTCCGATAACAGACTAATTGGTCCACGTGGATGTGAAGGTGAGTGACAATTTCATTTACTGCCTTGTAAAAGTTTTACTGCCTAATGATCACAAAAAACTGTATAAATCTAAAATTTTTAATATTCATCATTTTAAGATGGCCATCCATATGAAAATGTATAAATTTAAAAAAATATTCATCATAAATGATCACCAATGGCCATCCATATGATATCTTTGTGATCACAAAATCTGTATAAATTTAAAATTTTATAATATTCATCATAAATAGCCATTATTTTATGCCAGTTATGGCCATCCATATGATATCTTTGCTTAATGATCACAAAAGGCTTACACTGTATAAATTTAAAATTTTATAATATTCATCATAAATAGCCATTATTTTATGCCAGTTATGGCCATCCATATGATATCTTTGCTTAATGATCACAAAAGGCTTACACTGTATAAATTTAAAATTTTATAATATCATAAATAGGCCATTGTTTTATGCCAATTATGGCCATCCATATGATATCTTGTAAGCAAATGCCATTTGTTTAAGTTCTCCCTTGTTAACGCTAAATAATTTTTAAAAAATTTTGTTAGTAAAAATTATTAGATTATTAGATATTTCTTAAATTAATCCAAAAAATTATTCCAAAAATATTCTGACTCATCTTCATAGTTTTGAAAAGTATATTTTTTGCCCTGCCTTTCCTGGAATTGTCATTATTCCCTGAAATATTCAGATGAGTAATTCCATATCAAATCATCCAGAAAAAATGGAAAGTTGTCACCCTTACCCAACGGATTTTCTTAAAATTTTAACCGGTTGTAGGTACCATTAAAACAATACAATCCTGAAAATTTGAGCCTCTAAGTTGAAGCAGTTCAGGAAATTTGCCATTTTTAATATTTTGCATGAAATGAGAAAACCACGGCATTACAAAATAACTTTTTCTTCAATAAAATTCCATCCAGACATGCTAGAGCCATGAAATTTGACACAGGAAAATTTTTGAGGGTATGGAATCCAAAAATGATACCAAAAATACCTAAAAATCAACTACTTTTGAGCTATATCTGAGTAAATTTTGGCATGTGGTAAATATCACAAAAAGAATATGTTGTACTATAGGTAAATGAAAATTTATTTTTTCAAAGTGTTCCCCATACTACAATCATGAATGGAATCAAAAATGAAGTCTTGTTCTCTCATCATTGGCCCACAGTTAACAATCAAAAATGGGCATTTTTCCAGACATTGGTATATAGACCTTATACTTAATCTCTAGAATATATTCCAAAGAAGTCCAATAACAATGGGCTTTTCAGTAAGGATGGATAAGTAACTAAAGTGACACTATTTTCATGCCTTAGTCTTTTTAAGGCAAATGGTCATAAAATACTAAGTAGCCAAAATATCTTCCATAACAAGAAGAAAATGAAGATAAGAGTTTAAATAGTTAATGAAAAACCCAAATATTCCCAGAATCATTAAAACTAGTATCTTTATCTTTGTAGTGTTGATTTCTACATTTTGTCAAATGCGTTTACTGACCATTTTGTATGGATGCTGCATTATGTAACTGAAGGAAATATTGTTTCTCATCCACAATGTTTTTGCTTATTTTAATTCTTGGGTAGGACAAAACTTCTTTTTTTCTGAGATATGCAAGTTGTTTCTAATTGAAATATTCTCAAAAGTAAGCTAGGCAATTACAAAAAATAAGGATTCTGTTAAAAGGTTATCAGGTACAACATAGATATAAAAATGTGATGGATTGCAAATTCCCAAACTTGATAATCAAAATCAATAAGCTGAAATAGTACTTGGTAACACCAAATACAGGTGCTGTCTGTAATAGTGATGCTGGTTGAAATTTTTCAACTTAGGAAACAAGCATGCTGGTTCAAATAAATGGCAGGATTGCAGGAACAAAATAATCATGCTATGAAGAAAATTATTAGAAAAATAATAAGAGTGCTGTACCAAATAAGTGTTAAGTTAATGACCTCTCCAAATCTGAATGTTTGAAATAATATCTACTTAGCAGAGCTAATGTGTTGTAATTTGCATAAGTGAAGTATTTATGCAATTAGCCAATCCTATTTCACTATCTTATTATTATATAAACTTCCCTGTTGGGGACTTAAGGAAGGAGGAAGCCATATTTGATGAAAAAGTGGACAGTTAACAATAAGAACCATGCTGATGGGAAAATTGAAGATAATTGTGATGGCACTTTTGTTTAGTATACTAGAGTAGTCTGAATCATGCAGAAATATGAAAATACTTCATTTCAAAACTTAAGATAACAGTCACTCAGTCAGAACTGAACATAAAACTTGGTGAGAGCTAAACATGAAACTTAGTGAGAGCTAAACATGAAACTTAGTGAGAGCTAAACATGAAACTTAGTGAGAGCTAAACATGAAACTTAGTGAGAAATGAATATGAAACATAGCGAGAGCTAAACATGAAACTTAGTGAGAACTAAACATGAAACTTAGTGAGAGCTAAACATGAAACTTAGTGAGAGCTAAACATGAAACTTAGTGAGAGCTAAACATGAAACTTAGTGAGAAATGAATATGAAACATAGAAGCTAAACATGAAACTTAGTGAGAGCTAAAACATGAAACTTAGTGAGAGCTAAACATGAAACTTAGTGAGAGCTAAACATGAAACTTAGTGAGAGCTAAACATGAAACTTAGTGAGAAATGAATATGAAACATAATGAGAGCTAACATGAGTGAGAACTAAACATGAAACTTAGTGAGAGCTAAACATGAAACTTAAAGCTAAACATGAAACTTAGTGAGAGCTAAACATGAAACTTAGTGAGAAATGAATATGAAACATAGCGAGAGCTAAACATGAAACTTAGTGAGAACTAAACATGAAACTCGGTGAGAAACTAAGCAGGAGACTTAGAACTAAGTATGAAACTTAGTGTGAACTGAACATGAAACTTAGTGTGAACTTTGTATGAAACTAACATACTTATTATTAGTCTATTGTCATTTTTTAAACTTTCAACAAATCATTAGTGTCTGCTTGAACATAGTTTCATCAGATTTCTTTGATTAAAATCTTGTCTTCCCTGAAAGCACAGAAGCAATCACTTAGTAGACTTTGTACTTATCTTTCAGATTCATTTCTTTAATCAAGCAAAGTAATAAATGCCACTAAAAAGCAAGTGGTTACTGCATAGGAAAAAAACAGAAATGGCAATAAAAGAACAGCAAAGAGAAAGAAGATAATGATTGACATTGCATTAAAATTTTTGAACAACATAGATGACAGGAAAGCAGGAAGCCAGAACAAGTTCGGCAAGTGATAAGTATGGGAGAAGAAAATATTAGCATAGAACTTATGATTACAATTATCAATTTCAATAGTGAAATTATGAGACCTAGCTGCCAATCTAGTACTGCACTTAAATTCAGGAAGTCACGATACCAAAGAGGAAAGCTCATCAAAACAATTACTATTAGTGAATTTAATTAAGAGGTTAACCAAAGTTACACTACAATGGTGGGAATGTGACTGAAGCTGAGATGCCAGGTTAGGCCTGATAATGTTACTAATTCTTCTAGAGATTTTATCAAGAATCTCTAGACACATAGCAGAAACACCAGATCTAATGTGGCAGCAATATTTAATGCAAGGATGAGTGGTAGACTTATAATGTGCAAGCTAGATTCTGGTGAGAGTATTTATTTTAAAAGCAACCCTTATAAATAATTTACAAAAAATTACTTTGGCTTTTGTAAATTCTTCAACAATCTTACTGACAGTATTAGGTCATAGGAAAACTACATGTACTGCAGCTATAGCAGCAGTGGTGTGCCTTAGGCAAGATACCATTCCTCTTCAGTCTGGATTTCCTTCTACTAGACTGATTGCAGGAGGCAATCAAGGCAAGAGGACTCAGTCTGCCTTACTATTTAACCTATAGGTTAAAAAATACAGATTTATGTCTTTTCCAAGGCCATTAATGCTAAATGAACAGAATTAAGTGAAAATTGAACTTGTTATACTGGATTCACTTTCCATGCTGAGAACCGTTACACCATCCATGACAGCAAAGAGCGAAAAAACGAAAACTTTTTCTGATTGTAACTTTATTTGCATTCCTTTCAGCAATTTCACTATCCTCTCCCTACCAACACCACCAAATAATTTGGTTACTGTCATTGTATGATTTTAATGCGTGACTGTAAGGTTCCTGCAGTTAATTAATTACAGCCAACAGTTTTTACTGGGATTTTTGGACAGGACCTTTTCTGGTTATCAAATCTTTCAGAAAGGTTACTTGCAGCAGTTGAACCCCAAGAAGCAAATTCTTAATCTTTCCTCGATTGGTTTAATAGCCTCTTAGTCACATGACTCTTCAGTGAACTTCATTCAATTCAACCTCAGAGAGTTGAAGTCATTAGAAATGCTTCAGTTATCAATTACCAAATTTATTGCCAAATGCTGGAAGGGTATCTTGCTTGAATAACAGTGCCCAGAGGAATATCATTGCCTTTCCAATTTAATAAGGACATAATTCATAGAAGACTAATCCAGGTAATAGTTGTGGTACAAGGGCCAAATACAAGAAAAGTAATCATGACAAAATGTCCGATTTTCAGAGTAATTTTGAGTTTTTAAGAAATATAATTTTTTAATCTTGAAAACAACTTGGATAAAAATATAAAACATATGATGAAGCAGGTTGATATGTGTGTTGTTTCAGTGCAAAGAAAATAGTGACAAAAAGTAAAATAATGAATTCAATAGTCCAGACACCTCTTGTAAATTGAATGACTTTTCTCAAAATTACAGACAGTATTAAAGTGGTAATGAAATTCAGTATTTACTAGAAAATTATTTGTGTGCTTACTGGAATGGCATAAAATTATGTAAATTTAAAGAGAATTTTATAAGGTGATTACGCTTAATGGCATAGCAAACACTTTATATGATTTACTTCTGTTTCATTATTTTTTCATATATTTTAAAAGTTTTAATGTTTTGTAACACATCATTAGACATTTTTTTCTTTTGTTCATATTGCATTTAAAGAAAGACCAACATTTAGGAACATTTGTGTATGCATGTCTAAACATACAGACGCACATATGGATTTAACGGTAATAGTTATTGATGCATAAAGGGGAATTGGTGAGCCAAGTTCAAATTTCAATTGGTTCTGTTTAGTTCAATTCATGTTAATGCCCTTAGAAAAAGGCTCAAATCCATCTTCTGCCAGTAACAGGTTAAATAGCAGGGCAGACTAGGCTTTCTTGCCTTGGATGATAGCCAGACTAGGAAAAAGAAAACTCTGTATTCAAACCACTAATGCACATGGCTTCTTTGATGCTCTGATATGACATTGAGTGCAAAGTCTATTTTGGTATCAAGGTCAACCACCTAATGCACCTGGCTTTTTGATGAACTGGTGTGACATTGATTGCAAAGTCTATTCTTGCATCAAGGACAACCTACTAATGCACTTATTTTTTTTTATACTCTGGTGTGACACTGGGGGCAAAATCTATTCTGGCATCAAGGTCAACCCACTAATGCACCTGATTTTTGTTGATGCTCTGGTGTGACATTGAGTGCAAAGTCTATTCTGGTATCATCTAAATTGAGTGACATATATAATATTTATAATAATTCTATATAAAATCAATAGATGGATCCCGGATTGATCCTGATAGTAACTTCTGCTTGTATTTTCTTTTTATAGACAAACTGTCTTGCCAATGCTTGGATTGTAAGTTGGAATCTGTATTAAAAAGAGTTCATAACCAATACCATAGTATAAAAAATATATAGACAGACCCTAATAATATTCTTTCTTGTCTTTTCCTTTTACAGACAGACCGTCTTCATGCCAATACTTGGATTGTAAGTTTGGAGCTGTATGCAAAAGAGTTCATAACCAATACCAATGCGTATGTGACATCAACTGCTCTGGTCATCCGGACCTCGTCTGTGGTTCTGATGGGCAAACTTATGGATCTGAATGTCAACTTAAACAATTCTCCTGTCGTCTTCAAAAGCAAATTGATCTTATACATCGAGGAGTTTGCAGTTGTAAGAATCAAATTTTCTTTCTTTGCCCTTGGCCAAAAAAAATTCAATTCTTTTAGGGATTCTTGAATTCTGTATTTTTTTTCTCTTTTTCTAAGTTCTTCATTCCCTCTGTATAATTTTTTAGTTTCCTTTAGTTTATGATTATGATTTCTAAACTCTACGCCCTGTTACTTGAGTCCAGTTCATGCCTCCTATTCAATAAATATCAATCTAAACTTAACAAAGATCCTTGATTACAAAATCTATCTGTACATGTCCTTAAATATAATGTATTTTTTCTTTATATATTTATGAAAAAATACCTAAAAATTAGTTCAGTAAATATACAAAAACAGAAAGAGGTGTAAGATAAGAATATCTCTTCTCACCAGACTGCAAAGGATTGATTAACTGTAAAAACAAATCAGTCAATCAAATTCAGGAGTATATTTGTGACAGCAGAAAGAGTAAAAATGCCCTACACAGGTTAGATTTTTTAAGGATTTGAGAAGGTCAGCTTAGAGTTTAACTATACCTTCTTATTTAAAACCTCTCTTTTTAAGGATAAATTTTACTGCTTGCCTATCTATTTCCTAATTTATTCAATATTTCTTCATCCATGACTTAGCCAAAATTGATCTGAATTCTTGGTGCATATTCCCTCAAGAACAAGCATGAGTTTCTACACAGCTGAATTCACTTGATTCTTTATTCTTATGAATCTTTCCATTCTTTGTGTTTCCCTTCAAGACTTTTGACAATTTTTATGCAAAACAACAATTCTTTCATTTCCTTTGAGAAAGTCTTTTGTTACTTTTGCTTCCTTTTCAGCCATTGTCTTTTTCTTTTTCATTATGGCAGATTTTATTTTACTTTCCTGAAAAATCTTCCTCTTTGATTTTATCCATTTTGAAGAACTTTTGGAAGGTTTGGGGGGTTCCTTCCTGTTTTGCTTTTGCTTTGGTTTCAACTTGCCACCTTCAAAATTAAATTTTGTATTCAATAATTATTTTCCCAGAATTCACTTCTTTACTGCTTTTATTGCATTGGGATTATTAAAAACAACCACACACATAAGACTTGCATAAAGATATGGCCACACACACATACTTTCAGAAATATACAGACACATGCACACATTTCAGCAGGTGACATTTTTATAAAGGTTGTTTGCTGTTTTCTTTAATAAAAACAAATGTAGCAAAAGAGATATATACAGAGCTCTCAGTAAAGACTGAAGTCATCTTTAACATTTTACAGCATCAACACACCAACCACTGCATTAAAAATATCATTATTATTATTATGCTAGACTGTATGGGCTGTGAAAAGAGGATGGTAATAGTTAAGTAATTCTGAAATTACATTTTACTTATACTAAAAACTTTGATGGTCTCTGTTTTCTTGTTTATGTACAAATACTTCCTGAATATTGTTGTTATTAATTCAGGTGTTGTCATTTGAAGCTGAGATAGCATCAGAATTGACAGACAAAAGAGTGAAACAAAATGAGAAATATTTTTAATACCTTAATAAACATAGTAGCAGTAGCAGCCCTTAATAAACCCAGCATCAGCAGTAGCTCTGGGGTTATAAAAATATGCAACGCCTTAAGTAGCTCTTCTTTCTGGGTTTTCCTCTTTTGAACTATGTGACATGAACTTTTCACATTGAAGCTAAAAGGCTGGGAACACTTCTCACTAAAACACACCAACACAGTAAGTCACACAAAAATAACATTTTAAATATCTCAGTTAACACTTTGTGTATGCAATTTACTTCTAGGAAAAGAAACTCATCTCTTAAACTTACCTTTTGTTAATTTTGTTTAATAAATGTTATTTTACATTGCAAATCAATTGGTCTGTTGTTTTGTGCATTTACTTTTTTTTACCACCATTAATTCATATAAAACAAAATATTGTCATAAGAAAGCCTACGCATTTATTATTGAAGTAGCCAACACACTAAATATTTATTTTATAGACAACATTTTTGTATAGAGAAAATTTCAAGAAATGTCCCTGAAAGAAAGTATGAATTCTGGGTATGTTCTTAAGACAGTCTCTGTAAAAAGGATGAAGAAAAAGTTGCTGGTGAATTAGAGAGTGCATGGAGCACTAATTTTAGCATCCTATCCAAATCCATCAATTCCTTAGAAATTGCACACAGATATGTAAACAAACTCTATCAGCTTCAGAAACTGTTTCTGCAACTGTATTGTCTCTTTACAGTTACAACATCTTCCCGAATGACGACTCCTCTTCCTCCGACGACAAGATCTAGAAAAACCACGAGGCACATCACTCATGTCAGCAATGAAGTGACAAAATTCATCCTAACCAAAGCAACAGAAAAACCACCAGAAGATAAAATAGTGGGTAAGTAAATAATATAAATGTATATACATTAATGTGCCTGTTATTGTCAATGTGTACATCTTTATCTGTTCATTAATACATGTATGTATTCAAATCTGAAGTCAGTCTGTAACATATCCATTTTGAATATTTTGAGAACTGACTGCCAGACCTTGATGTAAGTTAGTAACCAATCAGAGAGGACATTACCAAGCATGCAAGAACACTCTCCCATATGGTTACTCAGTTGGCAGTAAAATGCTATTGAGTGAACTTGTGTGCAGTGTTAACTATAATACTCACAATAACTGAGAGAGTAGATTCTTCATATCATGGGCAGGGATTGTTTGACAAAACGTTGCACCCCCACCAGGTTTGTCAGCCTCCCACCTGCCACTACAGATTTGGTTCCCCATGTCTACTAGCTTTTTCCAAGGCTAAAATCCCCATTGAAATGTTTGGGGACTAGAATAAAGGGAATGTGACAAGGCAGTTGATGGTGATCCCAAAAGAAGATTTTACAGGCTGGGTGAGGGAGTGCTTTTAAAAGGACTAAAGCACCACTGCTTAGGGTAGACTATTTTTTTGTTAACATGAAATGGTTGAATTCTTTCTAAACCGACTTTATATATTTTTCTAGGTGCACACTTATGTACAGTGTTTTGATTTATTTAATATCATTGATGATCAAAACCCTTAAATGATTATGATTAAAACAAATAAGCATGATTTGAATTGTGAATTCTTTAATTCCAGATGTTTCCCACTGTCTCTACTAAGACATGAGAACAGGATTTACTGTTTGATGTCATTATTAATCATTTCATCCCAACCAAGGTGACAAAGCCACTAACATGCAAGTGGCTACTGAGTATGAAAGAATCTGAAAAAACATTATTAAAAAGAGAAAACAATAAAAAAAGCAGGATTAAGAAGACAGAAAATGATAATTGACATTGTATTTAGTTTTATGAAGATCAAAGTTGACTGTAAAGTAAAAGGCCATAACATAGTTCCACAAGTGAAAAGTGCAAGAGAAGAAACTATTAATATAGACTCTAAAGTTACATGTAGCCAATTCAACTATAAAATGAGGAGACCTAGCTGCCAATCTAGTACTGCACTTAAATTTGTAAAGTTGAGGTACGAAAAACAAAAATGTTCACTCGAACAACTACCATAAAAATATTCATAGAAAACACACAGGGAAGCTATATTACATCAGTGGGAATGTAACTGAAGATGAGATGTGAAATGGACTGATAACATTGCAAATTCTTATTTGGATTTTATTAAGAATCTGTAAATACTTAGCAGAACCACTAAACCAGATATGGCAGCAATATTCACTGTATGAATGAATAGTGGACTTATAAAGGTTTAAGGTGGATTTATACAAGTTAAATGACAAAATAATGATAAATCACAAAACAAGTCATATTATATGCTTCTGTATGTCTATCCTGGTTATGAAATAGTATAAAGAACTAGTTAGTTTATAACAGAAATAATAAGAACAAACATTTCACGGTATCTTGAAAATGTATATATGTGTCTTTAGTCAGTAATATAAGTTTTATAAAGAAGGATAAGTATATCCATAACACTAGAAGTGTTAAAAAGCAATTAAAACTAAATTCTTATCAACCTATCTTTCTTAGACACACAGACACATATCGTATATACCCATGTACAAACACGATCTTGTGTATCATGCAACCCCCAAATTTTCACTTATAAAAAAATGATTTTACCATGTATTTCATGTATCATGTGAGTTCCTTTTTTGAGAAACCAAATTACAATAGACTAATCTCTTTCCTCTATCTCTTTATCCCATCTTCTAGTTAAATAAGTTAAAAAGTAAAAGAAAATGGTAAAAGTATTGTTAGTAACACTATACTCATTGCATAAACATGTACAGCCATAAACAACCAATCTTATAAATGTAAACAATGGAAAAGATGCATATTCGCTATGTTTGTATTATAATACAATACTTATATGTGAATATTGGACACAGTTAAGTAAAACATGAATTTTATCAAACTCATGTTTATTTTAAATATATCTGTACTTTTTGACTCCAGCAAATGGGTATATAGTTTGGTCAATGGCATAACAAGGGCCAGCAGTACATATGTAAATTTTATGTCTAATTTATGATGTGACCCACTTAAAATTGCCTTCAAAATTACGTCTTCAAATGTTGCATGATACATGAGTATATACGGTAATTTGATCTCAAAGTTACACCTCTAAAATCAAAATAATATAAACGGGACTTTTAAAACGTTACAATTCAGAGACATTTTAAAGTCTAAAACTGAACAAAGACAGAGTTTATATTTTAATATACAGTTATGTGACCACTGATAAATAGGAGTAACTAAGAATAAATTTTCTTCAAAATTCCTTTTGTTTGGGTTGGATGCTGCCTAATTAAAAACAGTGTAAACTTTGCCAAATTTCTCCAATTGTTTAATTATTTTACCTATTTTTTTTGGAGTATGTGTAAAGAAAATTTATATTATTTTATTTGATAGGTTTAGTCTCTTCTACATCTTCTCCATTAACAACTCACAAATCATTGAAGAAACCTATAAAAGAAAAAAGTTACCAAATTAAAAAAGCTACTGCTGAATCTTTTTGAATGATAGCCAGAATAAGAAAGTACTATGAATTAATTATTATATCACTAATTAGTTCAACATGTATCAATTTCTTAAGCAACGTTTTTGTAAAATAGTAAGAAATTGCATCTGTTTATACCATGCTTTAAATAGAATCCTTATAGGAAAGTGTGAAGAAAGTAATTTTATTCTAAAAAAAAAAAGCTCTCTGAAATAATAATCAAGATTAAATCAAAACCTTTGCAAAACTATTTTGTTTACATAATATTTTTTTAAAATAAATGAAACCAGATTTTATATAACTTTTTTGTTCACAACTTACTTTATTACAATGTTTTAAAGGTTTTCTAAAACAGATAACTTGTCTCCCAGAATGCTAATGAAGAATCCTCTTGTCTGTACAGATTATGGTCTGAGACACAAATGTAGATGCATTAGTCAAATGGTTCAGTTTAGTCCAATCCCAGAGCTAGAATGGAAACATTCTCTCCTGGCTCCAGTTATTGATTGTTTATAAGACCTGCAAACATTAAATTAAGGGGTCATACATAGCACCACCAATTTGCTTCATTCAGCTCCACTTCGATTATTTGGCTCTGACCACCAAACTCCCAGACCTTGTTACTAACAATGCATCTTGGGTAATTTAGCACTGGAGCTACTAGACAATGCAATTTGATCGATTGCCAACCAAAGTCTAATACCCCTGGCATTTGCCAGTTAATTATAACAAACCAATGTATTCAACTGCTCCCAACTTTCTGCCCTTTGATTGTATGACATTGCTCTCATGTTTGCTAAGGTGATAGAAACACTTAAACCATTGAGTTTAGGTAAAAATACCCACAAGCAATCAATAAATCCTCTTTGTATGTTCTATTCCTGACTGCTCCTATGATCTTTACATGGATGTCCAAATCAACCTTCTGTTTGCATGTTGTATTTGATGAAGACTTAGATGAATGTGTTCCACTTCTCTGAGAAGAACATAGTCAATGAAATCTTAGTTGAATGGTTCAACTTCTGGAAAGAAGATCATAGCCAGTGAAAGCAGAGTTGAAGAGTTCCACTTCTCTGAGAAGAACATAGCCAGTGAAGACATAGTTGAACAGTTCTGTATCTCTGGGAATGAATTAGCCAGTGAAGACTTGAATGGTTCAACTTTTTTGAAAATAACATAGCAAGTTGAACGGTTCCACTTCTTTTGAAAAGTTATAGCCAGTAAAACATTTTAAAGACAGGGTTTAAAGAGCAAAAGTCTACATAAAAACACATTTAGAAACCATCATGTTTCATCCCAACCAATATGTAGGTAATAAATATAGGAGGCACGACACTGCTTTCTGTACAAAATCCTGCTGAATTTCTTTTTGTTTAGCCATTTCATACCAAGCAAGGCAATAAAGCCACTAATACACAAGGGGTTACTGAATCTGAAAGAATATGAGAAGAATAAGACTATTAAAGATAATGAACAATAAAAGAACAGGAATTAAGAAGACAGAATATAATGATTGACATTGCATTTAAATATTTGAAGCAAGTTAGAAGAGGGTACCATAAGCTAAAAGTGTGAGAGAAGAAAATGTTAGCATAGAACATGGTTATATCTAGCAATTTTAACTGTAAAATGGTGAGATCTTGCTGCCAATTTAGTAGTACAGTTAATTTATAAATTATAGGTACCAAAGAGGAAAGCTAATCAGAAATGTTTTAAAAAGATAAATACTTATAAAATCTTTTGATTGTGTTAACTACTTTTAAACCTAGTATGTTTCCTTTCTCTCTTCTCTTCATCATGCATTTGAACTGAAAGAATGATTGAAAAGTTCTAACACAATTTTAAATTATTAACAGATTAAAAGAATCGATTTTATTAGTATGCCCGCTCCCAAATAAATACTTATATAAAATATAATATATAAGTATTTATTTAATATGTATTTTTTATTAAAAGATTTTATAGATTTGGCAGTTGGTGTTATTGTTAATTAAAATTTATAAAATCTTTTTATTAAAAAATTATTTCCGGATATTAGGCTCCTCAAATGTTATAGCTCTTTCTAATACAGATGGGAGTTTCCTTCTAAATTTTTTTTTGCTAGTATTGAATGTCAAAAGGTTGTTATACCATTAGTGTCCCTAAGTCTTTTGATGTTCTAAGGTGATACCAAGTAGAAACTTTGGTGTCACAAAACCAATACATCTTGGGATCACTATAGATCAACTCTTTTTAGATCAATGTTCCTGAAGGTCATTAAATTTGATTCAAACTTCTGGTATTTCCTAGCTTGAATCACATACTATAAAACTAACCAGGGCAGGTGCAAGGGTCTTGTTGTCTCCCACCTGATCTATGATACAGGTGCCCCCCCTCTACTACATCTC